TGATGAGATGAGGTATTTGTTACTAGAGTGTAGGTATCTTTCAATCAATCAATCAATCACTCAATCAATTAATCAATCAATCAATCAAACAGTCAATCATTCAATCATTCAATCAATAATATTTTAGCTTCATTTATACCACAAAGTACAAGCTCACACCATATCAAAGCATAACCACAGTAGCTCTAAATGGAGTGGATAACTTCCCAAAAAAGCCTAATATCAAAATATCTGCAGTACATAGTTTAGCAGATATTTGTTTTCTGCACGTTCTGTTTTTGGTTTTCTTCTTGTGTTATACAATTAGTTGTTTCAGTTACGCAATACGCAATAATTGCGTGTCTTATATATAGCTGTTGTCAGTCAGTGATCTTCTTTCGGGTCTGCTAACGCCACAGGCTACTGCACTGTTCTTTAGCGTGAGCGACTCTGAGGAAGCTAGGGCACGTTCTAGTCGGAACAATGGAGTTTTAGATCCTTCTGTCGGTGCTGCTATACAGTCTGCCATTTCTGAATCAATGGGTTCTTTAACCGATAACCTCACTAAGGTTATTGAATCTCAGCTTAGCGATTTCGCGAAGCGATTTTCCGAGGAGAACAGCTCGTCCATTGAACAAGCAGTCAAGAGAGCTCGGCATGAACAACATATTTGCAAAAGGAAAGGAAACCAGCAGCAGTTTGATCATTCTCTCCAGGTGCTGGATAAACTAGACGAACCATCCGACGCTCTCAAGCAGAAATCATACGAGAAAGTTAAAGTTACCCTCGAGTCAGGTATTGAATTAGTTTCCAAGTGTGTTAAAGCCATTAAGCTAGCTGACAAGGGCGAATTTGGATGGGTGACCATTAAGGAATATTTGTCTGATGAACTTGCCTCTGACTCCGACGACAAGAAGAGAATTTACCGGGCGGAGAGGAAAGCCGAGAGAAAAATCAGTAAAGAGAAGCGTCATCGTGTCCGTTCTGATGAGAAAAGTAGCAGTTCCTCCTGCATTCCGCGCAGTTTCTTCGTCGAAATTCTCGTCTAAGGATTTGGCTTCTTGTTTGGAAGCTAGACCAGCTCGTTGTTTGGGGCCTTGTTTTAAGATAAGTAGCCTACTCTTTCTCATTATACTGGCTTTGTTTTTACTTCGTTGATTATGGCGTTACACTCAGGCCATAATCCAATATTCTCCATGAATTGCTGGTTTGCTGTATGTCGTTTTATAGACTAGGTTAGTGCAGAAATCTTTTTATGAAGCCTGCAAATAATTATTCCATGAGTGCAGGTCGGATATAAGATGATGGATAGCCAACGAGGCATGTAGCATTGAGTTGACTACAATCATTTCATATCCAACAAACGTGAGTACAATAATGGTTTTTATTATACACTATAGTCACCATCTGTCTTCTCATTGGCTAAAAACCTACAGTTAATTCTGGGAAACAGCGCAACCTACAGATTATTCACTAATCTGCTAGGTTGCACACGCAATGCATGATTTCCAAGAGCAGTGTCAAGTTCACGTCAAAAATAAACTGTGTTCGCTGTGTTCAGTAGCCAACGAGGCATGTAGCGTTGAGTTGACTATAATCATTTTATATCCAACAAATGCGAGTGCAATAATTATTTTTATTATACACTATGGTCACCATCTGTCTTCTCATTGGCTGGAAGCCTACAGTTAATTCTGGGAAACAGCGCAAGATTATTCACTAATCTGCTAGCAGATTATTTAATAATCCGTAGGTTGCGCACGTAATGAATAATTTCCAAGAGCGATGTCAAGTTCACGTCAAAAATAAACTGTGTTCGGTGTGATAATGCGTTTGTCATTAATTATCAGATTCGGTTTTTGTGATGTCATGTTAGTGTTATCAGCCGAAGCCAAAGGCTGAGGCTGATAACACTAACATGACCTTGACTACCATGACCTTGATTATTCCGGATATCACAGAAACCTCATCCAATAATTGTTTATAATAATTAAATTATACATATAAACTTACCATATTTGTAGAGCATGGCATAATTCCTGAATGATATACTAGTATTATGGCTAACAAGCCAATGAAAACTCAAATTGTATTATGCAATGATCCAGTTTTAAATAAAACTGATTGTATATATGGCTTAACAAATTTACATAAGACAAATCCATACATCACATTAATGTATGGTAAACAATGTTAATTAAAAAAAATAGCAAAGAAATCGTTGTCTAAATCGCTAAATATAATAAGCTTACTTTTCGAACAATGTGATTATGATTTCTAAGTACAGTAGACAAATGCAAATCAACTTTAATATGGTAATTTATTTCACTTTTGAATATCTAATTTAGACCAAGAGAAAAGGTCACAGTTCATATTCAAACTGAGGCGAAGAAGCGTACTTACTCAAGAGGGTAAAAATAAATTCCGCAAATCGAGGGCTTTACAGTCAACTGATCGTTGAATGACCTCCTCCGTGACTTACATTTGTAAACAAGTAATTCCACTAATTCCATCCAAATGTAAAGCAATGAAATATATTACCCTCTTGTTTCTGAAAGTCTGGAGAAGGCGCCTGTGATTTATATTGTTTTCAAACTCAAGCGCTACTGTCTTTGAATTTGTGGTCACCGATGGAGACATTTTAAACTTCTGTTGGTTCAAAGCAATGAATATTGCCTTTGTACTTTCAAAACAGTACATCGGCTCCTGTAGAACCTGCACTGGACACATGTCAAGTCTGTCCTAGCTTTCGCAAGGAACTTTACTCCTGTTGACAGTCTTGATTTGTCGACTTGCATGAACACCTGAAAGCGAAACAACAATCCTCCGTAGGAAAAAAGATGGCGACTGGTACATTTACCCATAGTTCTTGGCGCACGAAAACCTTAACAACGTTCATAAAAACGTACAGAAACGTTATAGAATCTTCAAACCTAGGCTACTTAATGTCCTTGGAACAGGGACGAATACTGTCAAAGAAATTGGCTTTCTTTGTACCTTATAGGCTGTGGTAGGCTCGCAGGGCATTGTGGTAAAATGTACAGCTGCCATCTTTTTTCCTACAGTGGATTGCAAACGGGTTTCGTTACTTGTACTTAATTACGAAGCCAGATTTTCCACACGTAAAAGAAATGATAAGATGCAGAACTCAAGACCAAGCTCAAAATGAATACGACTTACCTCTAAAACTAAAAGCAGCCCGATAAGATAAAATGGCCGCTTTCTGAAGCTTTGAAGCTTACGTAACTTAGCCGAGCATAGACTGGAACCTATCCTCGATGATAGTAAACCACGTGACAAGCGCTCTGTTCACCGTGACAAATCGAGGAGTAAATATCTTAGACCGTGACATAGCGTGGTGTACACTTCATGTAAGCCACACAAAAATTACGAACTAAAAAAAGGCAAAGTGAACAATTCAATGTAGAGGCCTGATAAGTTCGGAAATTCCTTGGTATTTCTACACAGAAGTCAAGCATTCTCACCAGGTTCGAATGGAAATTTTGGTTGAAAAACAGACAGAATTTCTGATTGCAGGTAAATAGTTTTTTGAAAAACTGTGCCCGTGAGTCACACGAAGGTTGGACAATTTGCGAATTGCAAACCCAAAACATTGTATCAAATTGCTTGGTGTTTCTGACCAAAGATCAAAATACTCAAATACTCTTGGGAGGTTTCAAATAATAACAATATTTTTTTTGAAATTGATTATCTATGAATTTTTGACTGCCAGGAATCTAGTTTTCTGAACAACCGTGCCCAAGAGCATAAGTCAGGATTTTTATAGTATGCCCAAACAAATAGAAGTGGCATTTCTGAACTAATACCGAGTACTCTCAGAGGGTTTCACTTGCAATTCTGGAAGATGTCATTCTGTAGGAGTCGACTCTGGAATCAGAGCACAAAAATTTTCAAAGAGTCGCAACATTGAGATTTTATAGTATGCCCAAGCTCAAAAATTTCCTCAACTACAAAGCTGAAATAATACTTGCAATCGCCTGACATTGCTAAACAAAGATCTACTGTTCTAAGAAGAATTAAATGAGTTATTCCGTGGAGTCTCAATAATAATTTCAGACTGCTGGGTATCTAGTCTTTAAAAAACACTTCCCAGCTGCCGGGTATCTGGACACAATGTTATAATATTAGTTTGGTTTGAAGTTTCTTTCTATTTCAGAACTCTTCTCACTAAGTGCAGTCGATTTCAGCTTCTTTGGCTCTGTTAACACATTGGTTGCAATTGACAATGAAATAGCACTTTTGCTTCAATAAACAACACACACTCGAGTTGATTCCAGAAAAAACTCAGGTCTTGTTGAGCTTACCAATTATGAAATTCAAATGTCAGAAATCCAAGTTTCATACACCTTTAAAGAAACAAAATTTCAGGCACATTTCTTGCGGAAATAACAATGAATCCATGCCCAACTGAAGAACCAAACGACTGAACACTGAAAATAAAAGTGATGTTTCGACACTTAAAGCCTGGTGACGTCCCAAAGAAAAATAGTGTTTTTGATTTGCTTGTCCAGAATAGTAACAACATCCAACTACATCCTAATATGGCCAAGAAAATCTCACTTACGCTGAATTCGAGCTGAGAAAATCTGAGATTTTTTCTGCATAACCTTCAAACTATGTACGGCTCTATATGCTGCTGCTTCATCGGGCTCGTGTTTTCGCTCGCCTGACTCGTTGGCAATCGTAATGAATATCACTATTGTTAACAAGCCTTATCACTATCCTGTCACTATTATTGCTGTTATTATTAAAATCCAGTCATTATATTGTAGCTGGTTCCAACCTGAAATGTCAAGACAATTGTGTGAGGATATTTTAAAGAAAGAGGTAACAATGCAGACCCTGATCATGTTATGTGCAGCAATAAAGTGTAGAAAGATTTCCCCTAGATGTTCTTTTGATGTTTAGTCAGTGTTAGGGCTTCATGACCTGTCAGGCCAGAGCTGATCTCTAGTTTCTGTATCAAAGAGCAACTAGAAGTATGTGTACTCCCTCCTGGTTGGGATGGTAGTCCATCACTGTTTAGTCCCAGGTAGCCGTTTATACACCTGGGTGAGGAGGAGTACTGTGATAGGTAATGTCTTGTCCAAGAACACAACACAGTGATCCAGATCACATCCAATATGAAAGTGCTCCTTAATGCATGTTAGTTCAGAAAATACTTTATAATGGACTTGTAAATTCATGAACTAAATGGAAAGAGTATGGCCCCTAAAAATACACAATTGAGGAATTTAGTCACAAAGCGGAAAGTAACGTGAAAGCAAAGAAAGTCCAAAATAAACTGAAAAAAAAAAACCGATTAGACATCATAACGTTCTATAACATGTAATCTGAAGCACTATCATTGTCATGGTAATTAGCAAACATTCCATTATGCTGCAAGGATCTTCAAGTTCTGTATGCTTTCAACAGCCAAGTACCTCTTGCTTTGTCATAATTTTAAATAATCAGCTTTTTTCCTGAGGGTCTTTTGTAATATGCAAGCCACCTTTAGATGTACAGCGTTTTTTGTTACTCAGCTCAGTTCAGTTTATTTTTATGGTTTTTTTCTATGTTATCTTACCCAAATATAATTTTGTGTTGTTAACATTGAAATTTTCAATAATTTTTATGTTTTGTTTTGCAGGGAAAAGAAGGTTGTTTTGTGGTTCGAAATTCAAGCAGAGAGGGAATGTACACAGTGTCTGTTCTGTGAGTGTAATAGATATCTTTTGCTGAAGCAAATGCTGTGTTGTTTTTAGTGATAATCATGATAAGATTTAAATTTCTCTTTATTGTTTTTTGAAGACATGGTGATCATGTTCGTCATTATCACATTAAGAAAGACAATGGACAGCTGTATATATCAGACAGACACAGATATCCTACCGTGCCTGAACTTATCAACTACCATCAGCATAACAGTGGAGGTAATATAGGTGTAATAAAGCGTTCATTTACTAAACACTGATTCCTTCTTCCCTGCTGACTTGATTTTGTTTCATTGTTTCACGTACCTCCGTCTCCCGTTTTTATGTGCTCCATCGCTACATGCGTGTTATTAGCTCTCTGAGTTTTGAATACTCCACATCGTTTCTGAAAGTCCTTTTCGTAAAGTATATTTTGTCACCTGACATTGAATGGTAGTTTGTGAAAATAAAGTAAAAACGTACCCCTATACTAACCTTAAGATTACTACACAGCTAAACCTGCATGTATTGGTTGACATCTGCTGGAAATACTCTAGAGTACTGTGAACACAAAGTAGTCACGTTCTTGTAAATGTATGTGAGCCAGTGAGGCTTACATACATTAGTGTAAGGGCAGTTACTCTTATCTGATAGCTTGACTCAGATCCTTGTTATTAGTGGTTTTTACTACTTAAATAGTTTATACTACATTCCAGTACATTCCAGCCTATCCTATTCTATTCCACTCTGATGTGTTCTATTCCACCTGTTGCATTCTATTCTATCCTATTGTATCCCATTGTAGGTTTTCATGTAAGAGATTGTTAATGTCTTTAAATTTTAGGTTTAGTTACTAGATTACGGCAGCCCCCTTCATTTGGTCAAGCTCCTGTTGCAGCGTTTGGACATGGTACGTGTAGCATGGACAACGACAATTTGTTCTTATATTGCTCCCCTTTTCTAAGAGAAAGCATGCCTGCTCATTGGCTAGTTCATGGTCACATGGCATGTTGTTTCCCACTGCATTTCCTCGAGCAGACAACGTTATCGGAACTGTAGCATGGAATAATACATGGTTACCTACCAATTGTTGCCTACTGTTAACTACAACTGGACAAATGTGGCTGTATTCGTAGACTAGCTCAAAGGAATGTCAGTTTGCAAAATTATCTCGCACAGGAGTCCATTACTGTCTTGCATAGAAATTTCTAACCCTATTGAAATTAAACATTCTCAAAATATGCAGCTAACCCAAAGAAACGCTTCTGAATGCAATTTTTTTATATTCAGTAGAATGAACAATTGTTGTTACTTTTGCAACAGTCAATCGTTTTGAAGGCTATCTCATTCTGATAATTTCCTGAACTTCCTGAACACTGCAAAAAATTGGATGTGTTTGACTTCTACTTGTCGTCTTCTTTCTTCCACTTTAACATCTAGTCATTTGTTCTTGTTTCACAGATATATGGGAAGTGCCCAGATCAGAAATTGTTCTTGGCGATGAGCTGGGTACAGGACAGTTTGGGGTAAGAATGAATTTTTCCAGATTATGTTTGTTGGTTATTTTAATAATTTGTGAGTTTGCTTTTGACAGACTGTGAGAAAAGGTACATATCGGGGAAAAAAGACTGTAGCTGTTAAAATGATGAAAGAAGGTGCGATGTCTGAGGATGACTTCATAGATGAAGCAAAAGTTATGACGTAAGTATGCATGAGAAACTCTCCCTTTTGTGTTTAGGTAGAAACTCAAAAATTAAGACCTTTTTATTTAAGAAATAGAAAACATTTCCGGGTCTTTATCGAGGTATAGAAATACGGCCGATAAGAGACCCACAGCCTATTTAGAACCTGTTGGGATGGGCTCGAAATGCGTCTTTGGACAAACACGCAAAAAAACCGAGGTCAACTAAACAAGCTTGGTAAAACAAGGATTTACTCTGTAGCACAAAAAACACCATTTTCTTGCGGGAAACAGCTTGCCCACGCAGGATTTGGTTTTTCTCACCTGTTTACATAGCTAGCTACATTCTAATAAGGCACGTGGTATATCTCGTAACAGGCAATTCCAGCATCCTCATCTTGTGCAGCTCTATGGTGTTTGCAGTGAGAAGCCGATTTATATCATCACGGAGTTCATGTCCCAAGGTGAATTGTTCCAACACTAAATGTTCGTGTAGTTCTACGTTCAGATTTGGCATTCCATACAACTTTGGCCAAAACACGATGAGGTTAACTATATTCCAGTATGGGGTTCAAACGTCGCTGATAGCGGTAAATATCATGTGTTAATAAGTGCTCAACTCAGGTTCATATTTTCTAGGGTGTCTTTTGCACTACTTGCGGAAAAATCATACTCGCCTGCAGTCTTCTCAGATGACAGAAATGGTTCGCCAAGTGTCATCAGCCATGAAGTATCTGGAAAGTAGAAACTTTATTCACAGGGATTTAGTAAGTATATAGCAGAAGCTTAAAACATGTTGCGATCGTTAGGGCGTTGGTGCCCATTGTTTCTGCGCACGTAACTCACCATCGAGCGCGCGCGAAGGAAGAAATATAAGCTGCTTTTTCTGATGGCAAAACGATTTACCTTCAAAACAAGTACGGTGACCCGCCAGTTGTTTGCATATCTGACATGAGTTGGTCGTTGTATAACTACAGTAAAAACAAATCTGGACATGAGAAGATTAGGGTGCAAACCTCCTCAAGAGGTGTTGATAAAAGTTGTTTGGGAGATGTGACATGCGAAACTTAAGTTCGTATAGTGTGATCGTCCGGGTGAGGATAGTTCTGAAAAGAACTGTTGTTGGTGACTGACGTTTCGACAACCTGAGCGGAAGTCATCTTCAGAGTCAAGTGAATAGTGTTTGTCAGTCGGTGATGTTATAAGTCTGGTCCGTTGAAAGTAATTGCTCAGTTTAGCCATGATGGTATTGGCTGAAAGACTCGTGTAAAGTTTGTCATCAGTCATTGGTCGGTTTCTATCCGTCTACTGTTAGTCAAATTTGTCAGTTTTAGGTCCGTCTATTGTTAGTCAAATTAAGTCGGTATGTTATAAGTCCCTTTGTCGGTTTCGTTTCCATCATGGACAAGTCGTTTGTAAGGCGCCGGTAGTTGTTGACATCTGTTAAGAGACGTTTGTTCTGAGTTGTTGTGCCAGCTTTCCAGAGTCAGTCGTTGAAAACAGTTTGTACTGTAGGTTAAGCATTGAGCAGTTTTTAAGAGTCACTGACTGGAAATATCGAGAATGGCTGGCCAGGTTCGAAAAATCGAAAATCCTGAAACTTAGCCTAAAGAACGTTTTTAGGGAGCTACTTTCGAAAATATTATTCCGATTTTCTTAGAATTTAAAGTCTTCGAGAAATTCGCAAACACGAAAATAAAGCTTTTTGCCTCATTAAATATGCAAAAAATATCTGGAAAATTGACATAGTTGTCGGTATTTGCTAGAACTCGAACTAGAACTCGGGATAAACTTAGCATAAGAGCTTTACTTTTCTTCTATTTAACTATAGGAAGTTTAAAATTTTGCAAGCGTTTTGAAGGGTTTCGTCGACCGTCGAAGAGTTCCCTTTTCAAGCCCCTATGAAAACGGCAAAAATTGCGGAGTTTACCGGCTTAAAACGCATCTTGGTATGTCCGATAGGGAAGTAAAACAAGTACTGTGCAAAAGAGTGTTGGGGAAGGTCGGGGTTGGGGAAGGTTGGGGAAGGGGAGGTCGGAACCGGCAGAAGCACGACGTTTGGACTAGGCCGAATTCCAACCGAGGTCAGATCGCGGGATAGAAGCAAACAGTCTTACTCTATTTTTCAATAAAACTTGCTTCCTTGGTCTAGCTGGATCACGTTAATGAGACCTCTTCGTTTCATTTAGGGCATCTAATTAATTCGTTTTCCATCAAGATCAAAATCGAGACACATGCTAAAATTTACTTTAAAAGACCAGTCTCCTTTCGAATATTTGCAGAATAATCGAGTGCGTATAGACGGGAAAGACAAACCCCTATATGTTTCTATTATAAGCAAGTGTCTAAACCTCAATAAGCTTCAATAATCTAGGAATTCCAATTTGGAGCTAACTGAAAATATATATTACGTGACGCCAGTCAC